TTATTATGTTGTCATTATTATTATTATTATTATTATTATTATTATTAATGCTGTTTTGTGTACTATAAGTTTTACCAAGACAAATCTGTTGAGTGTGTGTAAGCCAGTAAAGCTCATTCTGATTCTGATTTTTTTCAAGGACTACTGGTATGGTATTTAATATTTTTAATGCCCACTTTTTTTAACTATGGTGCTTTAATTTATTTAATTTTTTTATTTTATTATTATTATTGTTATTTTTTAACCTCATCCCGCCCAAAGAGCTGATGCTTTCATTGCAATGAAAGGCTGATAAACAAAATATGTTAATAATATGTTAATTATTTGTGCTTTTATTATGACATTAGCATAAGCCCCGCCCCTTACCTGAGCTTGCCCTCTGACTGCACCTCATGGGGCGGATCCTCACATCGCAGCCGAGACTCCGCCTCCAACAGGTACACGAACACACACTCCTGCAAAACACCAGCGAGAACAACAGCTGAGTCCTTAGAGTCATGCTCCATCATAATTCTGTCAGGCACTGGATTATGTGCGGTCAGAAACACGAGCACCTGTCGAGAGCTGGGACCCGTCCGCAGTCTCTCAGCCTGTCATTCTGGCCTCTGTGAGGTTAATCAATGCAAAGTACCTTCGTCACGCCACAGGCTTCGTTAATCGCCGTGCTGACAGAGCGGAGCAACCCTAATTAGTCTCCGTTACCGTGGCGATCGGATCCTGCGGGGGAACCGGATTGGTCCTGTTAATTTGTCAGAAATGTAAAGGGAAGTTTTCGACATGATTCCTTGACTTCTGTTCAGCTCTGTTATAAACCCTAGTGAGCGTCTCGCTGTCTACTTAGGCAGCATGTGAAAGGAACCTAGTCCACTTTCTTCATTGTTTCCTTTCTTTGAGTTGAGTTAAAGGGATTGTTCATCATTTACTCACCCTCATGTTGTTTGCTTCAAACCTGTGTGAACATAAAGAAAGATTTTTTGCAAGACGGTTGACGGTAGCCGTTGTCTTCCATAGTGTTTTTTTCCCTACTATGGAAGTCAATGGCTACCAGCAGCTGTTGTTCTTTAAAATATCTTCTTTTGTGTTCAACAGAAGAAAGAAATTCACACAGGTTTTGGAGAGTAAATGAAGACAGCGTTTTCAGTTTTGGGTGAACTATCCTGCACAGATCAAGCAGCGTTTAAACAGCTCTAAACTTTAACACTTTTGTCTTCTCCAGATGTTAACTGATGGACTGGAGTGCTGTGGATTACTTGTGGATTATTGTGATGCTTTTATCAGCTGTTTGGACTCTCATTCTGACGGCACCCATTCACTGCAGAGCATCCATTGCTGAGACACTGATGCAATGCTACATTTCTACAAACCTGATGAAGAAACAAACTCATCCTGATCTCGGATGACTTGAGAGTGAACAGATTTTCAGCACATTTTCATCAACTAGGCTGAACTATTCCTTTAATATGCCACATTCAAATGTGTGAATTAGATTTGCTGCGGTGGAGAAAATCAGCGAATAACTGAAACGCAAATCTACTTTATATTTTAAACTATTTTCTTTCAGAGCGTTCGGCAGAGAGCTTGTTTGTATGATAAACAAACTTGGAGCAGACGTTTGCCGGAATGCTATTTCTGCAGAGGATCTCAAATCTGCAGAAATAAATCGGGATAATTCAGAACATGAAACAGAAAGAGCCGCTGAGATCAAACACGCTGAAGATGTTAACGTGCTCGAACGCTCATGCTCTATATTACTGATCCAACTTCATTTATTTATGAATATTAAAGACATAACAGGCCATTAACTACATTAAATTATGCTTCAGTGAAACATGAAAAATGTCATAAATACAGCATTAAATATGAAATAGAACTGCGAGATGACTGAGTGTGTGTGATGCTGTCAGCTCCTGTTTGAGGCGTCCTTGAGTGCGTATCGCTGTTGGAAAATAATCAATAAAAGAAACAGCACTCAGATATGACTGGGTCAGTGCGTGTGTGTGTGTGTGTGTGTGTGTGTGAGTGAGAGAGAGTGTGTGTGTGTGTGTGTGCGCGTGTGCGAGTGCATGTGCGTGTGTGTGTGTGTGCGTGTGCGAGTGCATGTGCGTGTGTGTGTGTGTGCGTGTGCGAGTGCATGTGCGTGTGTGTGTGTGTGCGTGTGCGAGTGCATGTGCGTGTGTGTGTGTGTGCGTGTGCGAGTGCATGTGCGTGTGTGTGTGTGTGCGTGTGCGAGTGCATGTGCGTGTGTGTGTGTGTGCGTGTGCGAGTGCATGTGCGTGTGTGTGTGTGTGCGTGTGCGAGTGCATGTGCGTGTGTGTGTGTGTGCGTGTGCGAGTGCATGTGCGTGTGTGTGTGTGTGCGTGTGCGAGTGCATGTGCGTGTGTGTGTGTGTGCGTGTGCGAGTGCATGTGCGTGTGTGTGTGTGTGCGTGTGCGAGTGCATGTGTGTGCGAGTGTGTGTGTGTGTGTGTGTTTTTTTTCAGCACTCAAAACACTCCTGAGACTCCAGCAAATGTAACATCAATAAACCCTTCAGGAGAATGCATTTTTCCTCTCTCTCTCTCTCTCTGAAAAGACGCTCAGAATGCTGATGAAGTCTGGAGCGGCGAAACCTCCGGGTGAATCCGAATGAGATCTGACCCTGCCGTCTCACCGTACGCACACCCAACATCTGAATGTGATCAGACGGAGCTGAATGATTTCTCCACTGTGAAATCAAATGATCATGTGCTTCCCGTCGGTTCGTATTCCACGCACAAACTCTTATTGAACGCAGAGAGAAAACCCAGCCTGGAAAGCGTTTCATTGATCTGGAGGGAGATGTTGATTTCGTAGAAGAGCGAAGGGTGTGTTGAACATAGAAAATATGCTTTTTGAAAACTGAAAAACTAGATACCAAATCAATCAGCAGAATGAAGTTTGAAGCCGACTCAGTGTTTGTTTCGTACACTGACGGTCGATACAATACTAACGTGATAAATATTTGAGTAAAAACTATGAAGAGTCTGTATATTGCACTGATGAATCGTTTGCATGATGAAATGTACATATTTTAATATTGGACATACTATGGAATTGTATTCCACCACAGAATAAAAAAAATAAAAATAATAATAATAAAAATGTATTTTTTCTTGCAATCCTGAGTTTTCATCTCTTCTTTGAGTTCTGTCTTTTGTTTCTGCTACAAAATAAAAAAGGTAATTGCAACTTTTTATCTCACAATTATGACTTTTTTTCCCCTAAGAATTGCAAGAATTGTGAGATTAAAACTTACAATTGCCTTTATTATATTTTTCATTTTTTTCAAATGGTTGAAATAAGCTTCCATAACATACACTAGCATTAAACACTTTGGGTTTAGTGAGATTTTTTTTTTTATTCCTCGAGGACGCATTAGTTTGATCAAAAGTGACAGTAAAGACATGTATAATGTTGCAGTAGATTTCTATTTTAAATAAATGCTGTTCTTCTGAACTTTCTGTTCGTCTGTGAATCCTGAAAAATAAAATGTATCACAGTTTCCACAAAAATATTGTGCAGTACGACTGTTTCCAACATTGATAATAATCAGAAATGTTTCTCGAGCAGCAAATCAGCATATTAGAATGATTTCTGAAGATCATGTGACACTGAAGACTGGAGTAATGATGCTGAAAATACAGCTTTGATCACAGAAATAAATTACAGTTTAACAGAGATTCACATAGAAAACAGCTGTTTTACATTGTAATAATATTTCACAATTTTTTACTGTATTTTTGAGCAAATAAATGCAGCCTTAGTGAACAGAATAGACTTCTTTCAAAAACATTAAAAACTCACTGAGCCCAAACTTTTGATGTGTGTGTGTGTGCGCGTGTGCGCGTGCGTGTGTGTGTGTGTGTGTGCGCGTGCGTGCGTGCGTGTGTG